GCTATGACGGTGAGTTAAAATGTGTAGCCTATGTGAAGGCAGAAGAACCACAAGCTTTGTATTCACTTTTTATTTCTGTTTACTTTCTAAGCACCAGGGAGGGAAATCTTACATGGCAAAAATGCCCCAGATAACTTAAAGGGATAGTTCACCCAAAAATTTAAATTCACTCATTATCTACTCAACACTATGCCGATATAGGGGTGAGGTAAGTGTTTGAGTCCACAAAACACTTTTGAAATTTCAGTGGTAAACAGCGTTGCAGCCAAATCCAATACAATTGAAGTAAATGGAGATCAAAAATACAAACGTAAAAATACCAACAGAAAAAAACATAACGTCCATACTGCTCTTGTGGTGTCATCCAAGTGTCCAGATGCCAATCAAATTTGACTGGAAACGGCATCATTTACTTGGTGTTCTTAGCCGTTTGAAGTCTAATTTGAATGTCTGGACTTACACACCCTTTTATTTCCTGACTAGTACTCTTTCTTTCCTTTCTGTTAATTTATTTTGTCCTTTTGTTTTCTGTTTATGTCCTATATCTTCATCCTCAGTCTGGTTTTGTATACTGCTCTTGTATCGACAATTTGAAATCTGTATTAGCAAGTCTTCGATTCTAAATAGAGTTTTAACAAGAAAAAATATTGTTATGTGATATTCACAAATGATTTATGGTAAGTTTGATAATGAATATAAGTTGAAATCTTTGCTTACATTGAAAAAGCTCTGGTCTCTACAGCACAAATCCAACTGCTTGTGTTAAGAATATGAAAAGAGGGATTTCTAATGTCCGACCGAAAAACAACACAGATATGAGATAGAGATTTGTTTTGCTGTTTTAACTAACATGCACAGAGTATTATCAATAAGTGCATGTTTGATTTCATAGTTATGTTTGTATAAACTCCCCAGTAGACTTAAAAATCTCCATTAGTGAAAGGATTTTCCTTTTTTAAGCATTTGTTTCATAACTGTGAGAACACTGACGCTCACATGCAAACTTTGTCACAGAGGTCAAACAAATGGTGATGATGTGACTGAATTGTATCTGCTCAAAAGGAGAGGACAGGGTTCAGAGAAGAGTCGGAAAGCTTAAATAAAAAACTACTCATGCTGCTCCAGCTGCCTCTACTTTCCAGTTTTGAACTTTCACTTTCTGGTTCTGTGTTGCCAGTCGTCTGTGCTTGACTGGGCAGGAGAATACAAACAATTCATCCTTAATAATGATAAATGACCTGAAGTGTGATCTGAAAATAATTTTTGGTAACCTGTCATTCATGTCAAGCAGTCTAGCCACATTTTGGGTGTTTGGGATATTTTTCAATTTGAGCTTTGTTTCGTCATCCAAATCATGAAGGAATTTAAATCATGCTTCCTCCTCAAGCACAAACTTGAAACACAACACTGGCTACAAATTAGGTATAGAAATGGTTTTAAAGCCCTAAATAAGCTTACTCCTATACATGAGACACATTAGGCCTGTGTTCAGGTGCTTTGGATCTCCTTACTTGAGAAACTTGAGTAGCAAGATTCTTTAAAGGATGAACTGATCACATTTTGGCGGTCAAAGGTCAAAGGTCAAGGTCACGGTGACCTCACAAAGCACTTTTTTTTGCCTTGCGAAGGTGATTTCTCTGGAACAGACAAAGGAATCCTTTTACATTTATGGTACAAACATTCACCTGGAGTCAGTGATTAACTCACTTGATTTTCAATAAAATGATGTCTTACATTTTTTAAAAGGGTTTTTTTCTCAGGATGTTGAAGGGGGCAGCGCCCAGCTCCCCATACTAAAAAATGTCCTTTTTTTTTCCCACTCCTCACCTTGAATTTCTTAGCTTTGGTTATCTCCTATGAGAAAAGTGTAACAAACTGCCCAGCAACAAAACTAATGCTGAACTTTGGATCAGTTCAAAGACTTAGAAGTCAGTAAAAATGTGGCTAGCTTTGGTATTCAGCAAAGAATATGAAGAATTCTTAACAGAGTTTGGTGTATTTGTCACAGTGGCATCTCTTCTGGTTCAGGAGGCCGGGGCTCATGGGTAATATCCACTGTTCAGTTGTGTTTCAGTTCAGTGAGTGGGTTAATGCAGCAATAGTCAACAGATTTTTTTCTCTATATGATAAAACTTACTCACGTGGACATGGATCCCAACAGATCATCATATGTTGAATGGAAAATCTGCCGCATTCAGTATTGGAGAGATACATTGTCATTTCTCAAATTCTGTAATGAGTCTTTAACTGAAAATTAAAAATAAAGAAACATTGTTAATGGTCTGTATGTATATAGCGATTCTCTAGTCTTGATGACCACTCAAAGCGCTTCACGCTACAGGTTATTTCCAAAAATGTGCTTTCGGCTCCCAACAGAGTTCAGTTTCAGACTGTGGTATGTTGCATAACTCAAAACCACATTCTTTCTTCAGAACAGTCTTTAAAACACAAGTGATGTAACCTTGTCGAAAAGAGGAAAGTGATATAACTGTCATAACTTAAGCAATAACAAAGGCCACATTTTTCTGATAAAGACAACTTAAAATCCCATGAAAAAGAGTTTGACCTTCAATTCATCACTGTTGCAAATTGCCGTAGTTTCAAACGTAAAGATTTACAATAACATATTGTTTGTACATGTAAACGTATTTGTATTGTATTGTATTTATATTTTGTCCCACTGTAGCATATTGTAGCAAATTATGGTTATTACTGTTACTGTTGATAGCTAAATTGTGTTGCACAAGATAGTTTGAACGAGCAGCTTGACATGATTAGATGGCGGATGCGGAGGAGCAACAGTGGCGTCTATCCACTCCACACTAATATGCAAGTTCAACTTTAATTACCTAAAATGGCTTTGAGGTATATTAAATGTTGATGAATTTTGGCTCAACTGCTAATGAAATGAATAAAAACATAAAGTCTGCTATCAATTATAACACTAATTTTCAAAGTTGCTAAACCACTCAACCGATTTTATAGAGGTGGGGCATAACCCAAGAAAGAGCCCATTGTAATTTGGTGCATATCAGAGGGTGACACCAGCAATTTATTTTCAAAGTATGTACTAATCCTGATCATGATAAAGACATTCAGACCAGAGTGTTGGAGTCTGTGCAATTTGGTGCAGATCCAAATCCAAATCTGGATCAAGTGCTTTTAAATTAGGTTTTATAGGGGTGTAGGCTTTTTTCAAACACAAGTAACAAGCAGAGGAAACCAGTAACTGACACTAATGTGTAGCTGAGAAACAAAATGTGGCCAGTGACCTGTTTCAAAGGAACTGCTGGGTCTTGGAGGATTCTACTGAGTGCAACCCTAGTTTCTATTTTATTAGCAACGGTTTTGACACATATTTACTTAATAATAATTCTACAGACAATTCTTAAAAGTGTAGACATGATTCTGGGGGACACATACAATAAACATGAATGAGAATCTTGAGCCACTAAAGCTGTTGATGCATTAACCACAACTGTCCGGTTCATCAATTATGAAACCCTGTTTTGAAAATAAACCCACGTCTTTTGTAACAGCTTCACAAATAGCATGTTAGCACATTCACTGAAGCAATAAAGACCACAAAATAAGCAAGATGTTTTCTTCTCCAAATATTTATAAGACCAAGAATGGAAGGTAGATCAGAGCAGCGACCATGGCGGTTGGTTTCCTACTCATGCTGGTCTTTGTCCTAAATGGTGAGCTACATCGTCTTCATGATAAAATCCAAAATCAAACAAGCAGCATTATTTTCTTTCTTGTTTCTGTATATGGTAAAAAAAAAGGGAAAACCTACATAGAAATTAAATTGGATTATGATTAATTAAGTAATGATGCATTTTGTGTTTCAGAAGCTGATGGTTCTCGTATTGTTGGCGGTAGAGATTCTGCCCCCCACTCACGCCCCTACATGGCTTCGCTGCAAGTCGGAGGTAGCCATAACTGTGGGGGAGCACTGGTGAAAGAAAACTTTGTCCTCACTGCAGCACATTGTGCGATACCTGTGTAAGAGCTTTAGAACTTACTACTTACAACAACAACCATATGAGATACCAGAAGATTTGAAATCATTTTAAAGAGATGTATTTTACTTAACATCATAATGACAGTGGGAATTTGAGATTCTCTGAGGAAACATAGAATCACAATTGGCCAAGTATGTGTGCACATACAAGGAATTAGACTCTGGTTTTAAATTGCTCTCAGCGCACTTACGTAGAAATAGTTGTACAGCGAGGGACGAGGAGAACAAAAAACTAGGTAAGGTTAAAGAATGGTACAGAAATATTTTTATATAATTATACTTTATCATTTAATTTATATCAAAACATAAAATTAATATATGAATACAATGGTGGTTGGTTGGGATTGCACTGTAAAATTACATTTGAAAAGAAAGTAGGAGATTGCAAAATGTATATTGGAATGAACAATGGCCAGCACCATAAAAGTATACAGACCATGTATACAGACCATGTATACATGTGTACAAGTCAAAGTAGTGCAATGAAATGAATAATAAATCCTGTATAAAGATGAAGACAGGGTAGATGTATACATTGTACGCTGTTCATTTCTATGCAGTATTAACAATTATCTACAGCCTGCAGGATATATACTGACAGTGATGATGACATCATACATATTAGAAACTGTAGATATTCTGACTAAATTAGTCTGTTTTGGATTTCCTGCTGAAGTATTGAGCACAAAGAGTATAAATGAGCTCATATGCTGCTTTGTTGGACATTAAACAAAAGCACCGTACATAAATCAAATTTATCCCAACTAATTAATTTGTAGTAAAGTATTCTTCGAGGGATGCAAAAATGCTGTCAGCTGAGAACAGAAGAACTCTCCCACAAACTCTCTGACAGACAACATGCAAGTCACATGCTTGAGGCAGGATTAGATAAAACACAATAAACTGAGACCCCTATCTTTATCTCTGGTCTTCTAACCCAGCGTTAGAATGTCTCAACATGTGAACTGAAGTAGAGTCCAAAATATCCTTTTTATGGAAGTAAAAAGAGGGCAAGTTAAGGACTTTGAACTCCATGTCTACATTTCATTTTGCATGACAAGGAGAACTGTCCTCAAGAACTGAGGAAGGTTTTACAAATGATAAACTAACCATCTAAAGCTCAAAGCTAATCTAAAAATATTTATCATGTTTTGAAAATGGTCAGTGTTCTTTCTCAGCATCTCACATCTGAACACAGACCAATGTGGGTGATGATTTTTGTAAAGAGGGTGTATTTGCAGCCTTGACATCATATCTAATGTCTGGTCTTCATTAAATTGTGATTTCTAGGCCATACACAGTTGTGCTCGGCGTTGATTCCCTGTCAGGTACCGAGACTACAAAACAGGAATTCAGAACTGTCAGATCTATTCCCCATCCCGATTATGATCGACATTCAAATGATATCATGCTCCTGAAGGTGAGGACAGTTTCAACAGTTTACAGCACTGTCAGATTTGTATTACTGTCTCTAGCTTGCACAAAACCATATAACCTGATATATATTCTGTACTTTACAATCATCAATCCCATCATCTCAGCTCAATGGCAGTGCACAACTGACTGAAGCAGTGCAGCTGATCTCTCTGAAAGCGATCAGGGTGAGGACAGGGAGTCGCTGCCTCACAGTCGGCTGGGGGGACATAGGGGATAACAACACCTTACCCAACACGCTTCAGGAAGTCAACGTAACCACACTGCCACAGCGGACATGTCGCAGGAGATGGGGATCAGTTCCCATCGCTAGATCAATGGTTTGTGGTGTTGGGGCCAGAAGGTTTCAAGGCTTCTGCTCGGTGAGAAAGTACACAGGCTTGACATTGATCAAGCAAAACTGAGCACAGGAAAAAAAGTATTTTAAAACACAGTACACCTACTGTTGAGTGACTCGTATATTTTCTCTTGAAGGGGGATTCAGGTGGCCCTCTGGTGTGTGATGGAGCTGCAGCAGGCGTTGTCTCCTTCTCTGGCAGGCGATGCGGAGACAACAGGACCCCTGATGTCTACTCAAGTATATCCTCCTTCAGGGACTGGATTACTGGAGTGTTAAACAGCAAATAGGCAAATCAGATTTACTTAATTATGTGCCAGTGTGTGTGGATGATGGGGTTGTATTCTTCAAGACAAGGCTAATGTGTAGTGCTGTGTTGTTTGATATCTGTGCAGTGCTGTGGTTTAGATGAAGGGATCAAATATTATTGTTTTTCCAGTTGGCACATTTTGTTTTGAAATGGGTCAAGAAAAATTCCTTACATCATGCATTCTCAAAGTTGACAGAGTGTGCACAGAAATAAAGTTGGCATGAAAAGTGTATAAATTATATTGCACACATTTCTGTATTGTTTTGAAAATGTGAAAGATGTATTAACCTGACGAATAAAGCCATGAATTCTGTTGTCAGCTCTGGAAGAATAATGTTTGATGGGTCAAAGTTTTGTTCATGTCTGCATACATGATTGGCAGAGAGCTGCATTTTTGCATCATAATTGGAGCTCAGATAAAGCCTGAGTAGATGCAGTAAATCTAGTTGGGTGGGTGATATCCTTTATGCTCTTTAACTTGTTGATTGAAGCTGTATTGTGCAATTTAATGTAATGAATGGTGCATTTGTTTTGTGAATGTTATGTAGGGGGGGTGTTTCAGGACACAATGTCGATAATTGTATCGTTATCAGCTGGGACCATGGCAGCCTATAAAACATCAGTTCACATTTACAGCACACATTATCAGCTAAGAGGGTAATTGTAAAATTGGTCATAACAGATAGTATGCCTTTGATTGCATTATTTGCCTACATGCAGATTTGAATCATGGAAGTAGGTTTGGTTGGTTGGCTGTTTGTTTGGAACATTATTATGAAAATGAACTAAAAACACTTTTTCAAAGATGCACAAGTGTTAGTCTCACTTTATATTTAATGATCAGTGCTTAGGTTTGGCAGCAGTATTGATTGATTTTCTGAAACCTAAATGCTGTCATTGGCATCTAAATGTTAAAAATGTACAAATATAATAGTAACTACAATGACACTCAGTAGAGTGCATGTACGTCCACCAAGGCACAACTGTCCCCTTATAAAACCTAATTTAAATTCACTAGATTCAGATTTGTATTTGGATCTGCACAAAATTGTACACACTCGTAAATATCAGTCCCCTAAACATGGCTGATTTTCTCATCAAGAACATAAATAATTATCTCAGAAATCAACTAAAATGTTGAAAAATGCAACTTTATAGAAAGTGAACTGGACCCACAGCTGAATGCTGATCCACAGCATCATTTAATGGGTTCTTCCTTGGGTCGTTCCCCACCCCTGTGCAAAATTTCATGGAGATCAGTTGAGTTATTTTTGTGTCATCCTGCTAAATAAAAAACTGATGAAAACATTACCTCTTTGGCAGAGGAAGCAATATTTGTTTAACTATGCACTAGCATGGGTGCAAGTGTCTTATATTCTACATGCTGAGATTTATTAATTCCACCAATGTTTCTATTTATATGAATGTTGATTTTAGCAGTTATTATTTCATTTTTTAAGGGCTCAGATTTTACTCATGTGCTTCTGAGTCTAGGATGTATTTTGAACAGTGGAGAAATTTAACAAAGTACATTTACTCAATGTAACTGTACGTAATAGATTTATTTTCCGGTACTTTTCATATTTTCTTTACTACATGTATCAGAAACTGCAGGTATCTGTACTTTCTATTTTACTATATTTTAAAATACATTTTCTTTTTTTTAAAGTAATCAATAAAAGTGGTGGAATCAATCCACTGATCCAATCACAGCATCAGCTCTTAGTGGTGAACGAACCAGTTGAGACATTCTTGTTAATATGACATGTGAGTCTTTACAATTCTTGTATTAAACATAATCCAGTTAATGACGTAGTTGACCATTGCATTCGGGTATAGGCTGCTCTCTACAAGTACTTGTTAAGTATATTAAAAAGCAAGTACTTACTTTTAATCAAAGATACTTTTACTTTAACCTGGGCACATTTTTGTCTGTTTATTAGTACTTTTGCTTGAGTACACTCTGCACCGCTGGGTGTGTTTTCTTCTTGTCAGTGTTTTGGTCGAATCCCCTCTGCTGATGAAGACCTGTCTCTGAAACACAGGGGGACAATAATGGTGCTGTTTACACCGTCAGCAGCTGTCTCGTGCTTTCTGTCCGCTGAGGACAGATGCCTCGCAGCTCCACGACGCCTCCTGACCTCCCGGCTCTGGTGCAGCTCCTGTCATGTTCTGACTGAAACAGCTGTCGTTCAACTGCCCGTTTAAAATCCACAGCGTCGTCACCAAAAACCCCAACTCCCAGTGTGCATTGCGCCAGCACCCACGTCCTTCTCGGCGGTCATGGCAGCCGATTGCTCGCTGGGGGCTGAAGTCCTTAATCCCCAACTCCCGTTTTTTTTTTTCGTCCCCCCCCCCACCTTGCAAGTATCGCGAGATTCACACAGACGCGTCGGTGTGCGGGAGCGTTTGTCCGCCTGACAAACTGGACGATACTGATATGAAATCTGCGTCAAGGTAATAAAAATGCGTTTTCTGAAGAGAGAGCTCAGCTGCTAACGCTATGCTACTGCTGGTGTCTGTTAGCTGCTGTAGGGGGACGGTGCTAGCGCAGCGTTAGCTAGCCGCCTCCACTTGGACCCACAGTCACATCTGCATTGAGGTAGAGCCAGGACAGACAGGAGGAGCTGCAGGTGAGTTGGATCTAGCCCAGGACAGGGCTGCCTAGTTTATTTTGCCTCGTCATATTTTAGCTAATGTATAAGTTATTAGCAGTAACATGTCACCGTCTTGCGTCCACACTAGTGATATGGCTGACGTGCTCTCTTGAAGTTGCCTCATTATTCATATTGGCTTCTTTAACCCCTCAACTCCGGCCGCAGGACAAACTACACGGTCTCTCCTCCGTGTGTGTGTCTTATACTGACCTCAGTGACTGTGTAGTAGAAGTAAATACCCAGGAAGTTATTACTCCATCATGCCAATCCATTGGCTGCTGGAGTTGTCAGTCTGTCAGGAGAGAGCCGGCTGCTTCCTGTCACAGCTCTGCTCTGACAGGAAGCACAGGCCTTCTGTCATGGTGGAGCAATACTTTACATGAGAAGTTTGGCAGCTGTCACGTTATAACTGAGCATTGCCCTGTGTGTCCTTTGATCTGTAGCCTTTGAATTTCTGGAGGCATGTCCAAGAAAAGGGGCAGGTATGTGGATCTCTGTGTTGCCATCATATGTTGCCATTATTGGTGGTTTTTAGAATAAAATGAAACAATAAAACTACAATATAACAAATGGCTAGATGAGACAATGGTTAATTAATGTGTAAAGACATTGGATTTGACAAAAAAAGTGTGTCTGATCCAAAGGCTGCAGTGTTGATTTAAATAATCATTACATTAAAATAAACCTGCATGAGCAAGTGACTTCGGCTTAATCTAATTCTCACATTCAAATGTGATCAAATGAAATCTAAAAACATTATGCATTTTATATTTAATCACATATTTATCCTGTTTTACCAGAAAGCGAAGCAGCGGGGAACTGAGTGACACAGTGAGCCCCGACCCCAATAGCATTCTGGGAGTGCGTATACAACACAACTGGCGTGAGAAGGGGAACCAGAGCAAATGGAAGGGAACAGTGCTTGACAGGCTTAGTGTAAATCCCTCCCTCTTCATGGTGAAGTATGACGGCTTTGACTGCGTCTACGGCATTGAGCTGTTCAAGGATGAGAGAGTGTCCAACTTGCAAGTCCTTACAGAAAAAGTTGGTGAGTGAGGAGGAGCTTCTCTTTTCCTTGAGTAATTTATGTTTTGGATTGTTTTTGCAACAGTTGGGTTTTACAGTAGGTCGTACATCTTTTGTGCCCACATCTTCACAGTAAACAATAAAATCAAGATACCGCCAGGGGCGGAGGAGCTGGTGGGCAAAGCTGTTGAGCATCTTTTCGAGAAGGAAGATGGAGAGAAGAACGAGTGGAGAGGCATGGTCCTCTCCAGAGCTCCAATCATGACCAACTGGTATTACATCACGTACGAGAAGGACCCCGTTCTTTACATGTACCAGCTGTGGGATGACTACGCAGACGGAGACCTCAGGATTCTGCCTGAAGCAGGTACATGTAATCTGTGTATCACAAAGACAAATCGATACTTGACTAAACTTGATTACGTCTCTGGTAATCGTGTTCTGAGGGCTCATAGATAAGATCAGGAGCAACCGCGGTGTGATGTAAATCGGTTTTCCCCTCAAGAAGATTGAGCCAGTTTTTGCAGACATGTATACCATGTGAGTTCACAGTGGTCATGGAAGCCTGTATTCATTAGTAGATGTCTCTGTCACAGATTTTGTCACCCAGCAGCAAACAGAGAAAGTTAGATAATTAGATAAGACAGTGTAATCTTTGGAGGATCAGATACTTATGCTCATGATAATATTTCTGCCACAGCGGTTTCATCAAACAACTGTTACCGGAGCTTTCTTTGGTAAAACTACTCCTCTCTCAGTGTCAGTTGACAGTTAAAGTCAATAAACGACTGGCCCTGGATTCA